TTCAAGTATTGGAGCAGTCACTTCATGCCAAGAGTGGCATGGTCGGTCAAAGGCCGAGGCATCGAGGGCGAAGCCCTAGCACAGCTCACGTCTTGAAGCAGTTACTGCATGCCAAGAGTGGCTTGGTCGGACGAGGCCCGAGGCATCTTGGGCAAAGCGCTTCTGATGGGCGTGGAGCGGTACATTATCCAATGAACGAAAGCTGCGGAAATAAAAGCTTTTCGTCGGATGTTGGTAATAACATCAAGGCTCCGATGGAGCAGGGTGTGGGGACACAGACGACGCTGACTGGGTGTTCCCACTGGTCTCGATGAGACGTCAAATCTTTATCGAGTGGAGACGGCGAAACCAACATTAAGAAGGTGCTGAACGCACTAAGCGGATCGTCGATCTTGATGGACCCTTCAGATCCGTAAACTACTTTGATAAAGAAGCTTTCAGACGTCGTCGGTTCTACCTCCAGACAGAGATGTGCGTCATGAGATTGACCTGGTTCCGGGAACCAAATACTGCATAACACGCCAATGGCCCCTGCCCAATGAGCAGTGTGACATCACTGCACGACGCAGGACTGGTGCTTGAGAGCAAATTTCCCATTTGACACCCAAGTTTTGCGTCCGGAAGCCGAACGGCAAGTGGCGTGTCGCTCACGCTTATAATAAGGTAAATGCTGCCACCACTCCGGCACTGATGCTGATTCCTAAAATGGATGTTCTCCAGAACAATATAATTAGCTGTACAAAGTACAGCGCACTCAACTTGGTTGATGGTTATTACTAATTGCTCATGAGAGCGAGTGATATTTCGCTGACAGCGGTGGTTATTTCGAGCGGAGTGCTCTGGGTGTGGCTGGTGATGCCCCAAGGGCTGTCAAATGTACCAGCAACATTGAATCATCTTCCTATTCAGTTGTTCAGTCTCCATCGGGCGAATGCACAGACATACTTCGACGACATCTTCGTCCACAGTCGTGCGAGGAACGGGAGGACAGATGAGGATAAATTTGAGAGTAGTTCTGCATGCCTACGATTAAGCTGTACGCTAATGCAGATAAGTGCATCTTCGGCGCTGAAGTCGTGGCCTTCGAGCGGATCAAGTTAAGGTCAAGGCTGTTTTGGACTGGCCGGTTCCAAAGAACAAAATGGAGTGCTTGGCTCCGCCAACTACTTGCACAAGTATATCGAGATTAATGCGAAAATTGCCCGGCCATTGTCGAATCAGCTTAAGAAGGATACGAAATGGGATACCGAGCACCGGGAAGCTTGTGACGGGTCAAATTCAGCCTCCTTCATGTACCAATACTGGCGTTGCCAGGTACCAATCGTCCTTTGAGTGTCGGCTGTGATGCTTCGGACTTTCCCACTGCTGCAAGGAGACGCCGAGGGGCGAGATCGGGTGATCGCGTTCGAATCTCGCCAGCTTAAGACGTTGTAACAAATTTGATCCGTGCCGCATACGCAAGTGATAGTATGTGTGTAGCGCCGCTACAGCTTTCGGGACAAGAGTTTAAAACCTCGGACAAGAAATTGTCGGCGAGATTGTGCGCACGATTACACCGATATTCGTTTAGTAACTGGTTGCTGTAATATAGCACCGATTCAACAGATACGCTACGTATTGTGGTTCCTCACGATGATAATTTAAAATACCGTATTCTCTCCGAGGCCCACGCCACCCCTCTTAGTGGTAATCTCGGTCGTGAGAAGACGTACAACTCGGTGAGTTGCTACTACTGGTGGTCCAAGGTGTACAAGTGGATGAGCAGATATGTGTGCACGTGTGAGACGTGTCGGAGGATAGAACTCTCACCGGATGCGGTGGAGCCGCTAATTAGTTTACCGGGAATCTCCGGGTGTTGGCAGTCCATGAGTTTGGGCTTTGTATCTGGCCTGCCGAAGAACTGGTCAGGCAACACGGGTGTGGTGGTCTTTGTGGAACGTTTGAGCAAGATGGCCCATCTTGCGGCACCATCGACGATGTTTGTACAGAGACGATGTTTCTTGATCATGTTTCTCGACAACATAGACTTCCGGAGTCAATAGAAACCAGCGCTTCACTGGGAAGTATTGGTCTACAATCTTTAGGGCGCTGGGCACCAAGTTGACTATGTCAACAGTGGACCATCCGCAGACCGATGGTCAGACTGAGTGCGTGAATCGCGTCCTTGAAGACATTCTTCGCAGCGCAGACGCTGCGAAGCCGAAGCGCTGGAGCGCTATATCGTCACTCGTAAAGTATGCCCTATACAATTCAGTGCATTCATTTACCTGCACTACGCCGTTCTACGTGAACGGGCTTGTTATCATCTCTATCCCCTGACGTCGCCATCTCATGGTTTAGGGATTGGTTGGTGGGGGGGAGCAAAATGTTAGCTGCTGTTAGCCCCCTCATTGTTGGTAAGGAAGCCGATGACCTCCTGTCTACCAGACTAGGTGACTTACGTCCGTTTGCGATAAGATGGCTGAAAGCCAAGAAATGCAAAGAGAATATACAGATGGAAGAAACAGGAGAAATGTGGAAAACTCTGATGTCGTAGACCTGGTTTAATCAAATGCTAAAAAAATTCTTACACATACAGTCTGTGCTGTCTTTGCGACAAAACTCCATCCATGATATATTGGACCTTTTAAGGTTGTGGCAAATTGAGGCCTTGCGTATACGCCGAACCTTCCGAGAAGGATGCGCACCCACCCGGTGATTTATATGGGCTTCCTTAGCCTTACCGCAAGTAAATGCGGAAGCGTTGGCGCCGGGACGACGCCAAAGGCGATCGGACACCCAGAAGATGAACCAGTAACTGGTTCTGAGCGCGGAGCGTTTCGATCTCCATCTCTAACGGCGCTAGGCGCTCCACCGTCGCACGAAATACGTATTCGACTGCTCGACGACTAGGAGCCGCTCTGACAGAGAACGACAATCCTCAACGTGAGTCAGTCGGAACACAAAGAGCTCACACAAGTTGGTGTTGTCACACAGTAGCGTGGCGACACGCCACTTCGTGGCGGGATTGCCAGTCCTAATGCATATTGATTAGGTTCTACTGTTTTAATTAGGTTTTACTATATTAATTAGAAAAACCTAAGATTTAAGATATTGGCAGCTCTGCCGCAACTAAAACAATTAGATACAATTTTACGTTTGAGCGGAAGAGTTCATTTACCTTGGCTAAGGTTTTAAGTACTCTTGGAGGCAGCAGATTGCGTCCGCTGTACTCGTACTGGTTCTTGTTAACGTAAGGTCGGTGGCCTTAGCTAAGCTTCCTCTAAGCCCACGACAGCTCCGCTGCAACCACGTTGACTGACACCACCACATCCTAGGGTACAGTGTTCTAACGGGGTTTCACGTGACCTGGTAGGAAGAATTTGGGTCACACAAGATGGTATGACCACACAGTGATGTAGCTACACTTAACCAAGAAGTCAGTATGTGGCTGGAACAGCCAGTAGCTGTACATTTAATTACGCTTTTTCACATTGATATGAAAACCTATAAATTTAAATATAGGCGACTTTGCCGCAAACAAACCGAATAATACATTTCACGTTTTAAAGGGACGAGTTAAAAATTAGCCCTGGATTAAATTTGTATTTACTCTTGGAGACGGTGGATTGCGATCCGCTGCACTCGTACTTGCTCGAAGTATAGAGCGAAGGTCATCGACCTCAGCCAAGCCTCCTCTAAGCGAAAGAGCTACAGCAGCCCCGCTGCAGAGTTGGTGGGCGTCAGTAATGCGAATTCGTATTTACCATCAGCAATGGAAACCTTGCCGAGCATACGAGCGAATAAATTATGTGCATATTGCTAAAGTCCACGCTGAAAAACAAAATATCGGTGTCTTATTGTCACGATCGCAAAAATCGGCCAATTCGCGTGGACCTGATCCATACGACGAAGACACCTATGGAATCGCGATGATCGACGTAGCAACGCGATCGCTGGAGATAAATGTTCAGTTTGACAACAAGCTCTTTACTCCTGTCGCAACTTTTATCTTGATCGTTGTCCGCTTTAAGCGGCCCAAACTTAAAACCGAACATACGGACAGCAAGTTCCAAGGATGCATCAACCTTACGATATCAAAGCAAAGCCACTCACGTCAAAGAGTTCTTGTGCCAATGAGATTTGACTTCTCTATGCGTGTAGTTACGAGGTCCTGCACATCAGCCATACCGACATGTAGGGCTTGAGCTGAATATCAAGAGATAATTATTCCACCGCGCCGCTTTCGCCGTTTGTGTCAGAAACCATAGCATCTTAAACGAGTCTCCAGGTCAGGTTGTGTCTGGACAACATTTCTCACACAGCAGCTCCATGATGCCGATCGATATTGCTTAAAGCGATTCTATTTGACAATGACTATGAAAATGATCAGCAAATCAAGCACTTCTTTATTTGAAGTGACCAAGCATGGTTTGTGTGATCAAGCAGTTAAGGTAAGACTCATGCCGTCACCAACGATCTTTTCGCGTCCACTGCCATCAATTACAATTGATTCGATTTGATTGAGAAGGGCTTGACAATCCAGCAGGCCAGCAATCGCAACATCTTTACCTGTTTGTCTTATTAGATTACAGGAGAAACTATATCATCCTTGACGACATCAAGGGTACTCGTACCTAACTTATTCTTTTCTTTCGGTAATGCTCACTAGTGAAGGCACGCCCCTCTGTCAGCCACGGGTGTGTCATGATCTATGGCTTTTGTAACCTGCTATGACTGAGCGCATTTAAAGAAACGGATTTATCTGGTGAAGAAGAGAGTATCTAGAGCTAAAGCTGACTTAATGGGTCGTGCACTCCAGCCAAATATGAGTTTTAATCCGCTGCAATTGTTGCGGTAGCTAGTCTCATAAGGTTCGATGCCTAAATGGTCTGAAGGCACTTCTTTTTCTAGGAGCTGCCTGAAAATACACTCATGTAGTTGAGTATTTTCACAAAATACACCACGACATGTGCAAATCACCAGCTTTGTTCTTTTACATTTCCACCACTCATTAAATCATGAAGTCACTCAAAGACTTGTCCACAATACCTGGTGCCATCAATCTTGAGGACTTTACCGTATCATTTCCTGATGAAGTGGAGCAAGAACTTAGGCTTGCGTATGGTGAGCCGCATTGGTCGAATTTAAAGCGTGCTCTTGCCCGACCGTATGCGTTTTCAGTGATAAAAATGCTAGAGGTGTCAATCAACAGTAACTCGCTTGTAATATAATCCTTAGGCCCGCATTTACTGCCGTCCGGGTTAACACTCTCAAGTTATCACGAGATGAAGCTTTGCAGGCCTTAAAGGTTCATCTCGACAGAATTCATGCGGAATTAGCTACCCGGGATACCAGTCATCAGCCATTTAAAGCCTTCGCTCACGCTTCATTGCCCGACGTGGTGATGATACCATCATCGCTTGACAATCAGCATTCTATCAAGTATAATTCGAACCTTAAGAGTATTGTGGTGGATCGACTTTGCGGTGAAGCAGTGCTACGTGGCAGTGACATATTTGCTCGAGGAGTCATGAGTGCCAGCTCTGGCATCAACGCCGAAGACGAGGTCAACGTCTTTGTTGATTTAGACCATAATCACACAAGAGGAAGCGACTTTATTACACACGATGGACGCAAGCTACTGATTGCAAGTGGTGTGACCAAAATGGCACGAGCAGAGATGTTCCGAGCTGTGCGAGGACTTGCAGTGACGCAATTGATGAGGGTTTGTCCGGATGCACCTCCACTAAATGGCGTGTTGCAAGGCGAGATCTATGTGCAAAATCTACCGTGCTCAGTTGTAGCACATGTTTTAGATCCGCAAGAAGGTGATGTGATTCTTGACATGTGTGCGGCTCCAGGAGGCAAGACATCACATATTGCGACATTAATGAAAAATCGAGGAATTCTAGTAGCGTGCGATCGATCAAAACGCAAAGCGCTCGAGCTGCGAAAGCTCTGTGAAGAGTTGCGTCTTGATTGCGTTGAACCATTGCAAATGGACTCGACGCATGCCTTGCTTTCGAAAGAAAAAGTGTCTTTGGCATCACAATATGATGAATACACGAGCGTTGCACAGGTTATTATGCGAGCGAAGCAAAGCACATCAAAACAAGCGCGACTGCTACAAATAGAGGGATTTTATCCGGAGACATTTGACCGTATATTACTTGATCCACCCTGCTCGGCACTTGGATTGCGTCCAAGGTTGCTTCACGCTGGTGACACCGCTAATCTTGCCGAGTATTGCAAAATGCAGCGCAATTTTCTATGGATTGCTGCCTCTTTGCTTAAACCCGGTGGTATTCTCGTATATTCCACATGCACAATCAATCCAAAGGAAAATGAACAGATGGTGCATCATGCGTTACAAAGCTATCCGTTCAAACTCATTTCTCAAGGTGATGCACATCTTGGTGAGTGTGGTCTTTCTCACCAAGGTCTTGATGATAAAGAAGCAGCCCTTGTACAGCGCTTTGACCCAGCGAATGCCGATTTAGACACAATGGGCTTCTTTTGTGCCAAGTTTATTAAGACAAGATCCACTAGACAGCAATAACATCTTTCATACCATAGTTAGTAGACATTTAATTCGTCAAATTCATATTCTCATCAAGTTAAAATCTATACATCGTAGAGCTCTGTTTGAAAGTTACGGACGCGGAAATAATATCCAATCAGTATCGAGTTATTATACCAGCCATCAACTATCTAGGTCAACATTTGTCGTCATGGCTGTTCCGACTAAAGCTGCCGCCTTTGTCGCATCTTCTCCTTCCTTCGCCGCGTTTCGCTCGGTAGCGGTGGCATCTTCACTACATGAAGGTGATACTAAGAAATACATTGGCACTCATAATGGCACTTTTCATTGTGATGAAGCGCTGGCTGTGTCGATGCTGAAGTTGCTTCCGAAGTTTGCGACTCATGATATCTTGCGCACTCGTGACGAGTCCAAATTGGCTCAGTGTGAGATAATCGTTGACGTGGGTGGAATTTATAATCCGGAAACGCTGCGCTTTGACCATCACCAACGTAGTTTTACAGGAACATTTGACCAGCGCAACATCAAGCTGTCGAGCGCTGGTCTCGTTTACAAACACTTTGGCCGCGAAATTATTCAACATCTGGCTGCTCCGTCGAATCTTGATGAAGCTACGCTAGATATGCTGCATCGAAAGGCATACAAGAACTTTATCGAGCACATTGACGGCATTGACAACGGCGTTGAAGTGGCCACAGCCGCTGGCGACGCGAAATTAACGTATAATTACCAAGTATCAACAAATCTCAGCAGTCGTGTGAGTTACTTGAATCCACGCTGGAACGAGGATCAGAGCGAATTGCGTGTTAATGAGCAATTTCTACAAGCTATGTACATGACCATCACGGAGTTTACGGATGCTATTCACGACCTCTTGCACTCGTGGTTGCCAGCTCGGGAGATTGTGGAGAAAGCCATTACCGAACGCTTCCAAACGCACAAGTCTGGTGAAATCGTGTACCTTCCTGATTATTGCCCGTGGAAGTCCCATCTCGTTGACATAGAAGAGAAGCTTTTGATCTCTGGTCAGATCAAGTTCGTGCTTTACAACGACGCGACGGGCAATATGGTCCGTGTCCAGGCGATCAATGCCGAGTCGGGATCTTTTGCACTACGCAGAGGTTTGTTACCCGCTTGGCGCAGTCTTCGTGACGAGGAGCTGTCGCATGTGTCAGGCATTGCTGGTTGCACCTTTGTGCACAGCGCTGGCTTTATCGGCGGCAATCGCACATTTCAAGGTGCTTTGGAAATGGCTGCCAAGTCGCTCGAAACATCAGATTAGGTAATTCAGTAAGCCTGCGTTGGTTTGTCGCTTGAATTATTATTGATTATCATTCGTACAGTCACAACATCTCCCAACAAAGTTTTTTTCTCTGGTAAAGTGGATATTGTGTAGTTTTGCTGCAGCAATAATATGCGGGCCGATGACATTCGTAGTGAAACAGTTGCTTTACAAGCAACAGGTCCTAGAAATATTCCCACAGCGCGAGGCACATGGTTCTCAACCGCTTCAAAAAAGCAAAAAGTGGTCAATATGGGTTTTAGATCTTAGTCAAACAATTTGAAAAGAACGGAAATGGTGGTGAATTACGGTGCACATACCCCATATTACATGTTGGCGCTAGCAAGCAAAAAGCTAGTACATAAAACGTTTTTGTGCAAAGAAGATGTCGTTTCGTATATCGGCGACTATCCTTCGCTAATCAAGTACATTCGCAAGGTGACAGTGAAGCAAAAAAATATTGGGGAGTAAGCCGATAGGAGCCATTATGTCGCTCACAATGTGTTCGAGAAAACAGACTGAAAGGATTTCGCCAATCAGACTTAGCGAGCCCGCGGTCATTTTTTCGCATGGTCTTAATGCGAGGCTCCACGCACACTTAAGAAAAGATCTGATGCGGTGGAGAACTATCGAGTTCATCTCGTGCAAGCTTGGTAAAGCAACACTTTGGCGTTGAGCGTGTCTGTAAGATGCTCTGTTCAAATTGCTAGCATCCACGTACAACGCGCGTGATTCTCGATGAGCACGACAGCCCTCTGATTTGTAAGTGGAAGACAGGAGATGTCTTTGTTGTCGACGGTAGTTCTGAACGCTCATGCATTGAGGGAGAATAACACTTGAAAGTCAAGTTACAATTCAATAAGCACTAAGCACGGCAAAAAAGAACGAAGCGTCTTCATCGAGTTTGCGTTGCTTTTTTTAAGTTTTTTGGCTAAGCAGCCAGATAAGACCATATCCGTTGTCCTTAGTAACACAATACTCAAACGTTTACTAACAGTTGTGGAACTTTTCGACCTTGGTGGATCCGAGCTATGAGGTTGCTGGTGAAGTGCTCGAAAGAAATGACAGAGTCACATATCAAGCTTTCGCCAAATTTCTCACCATAGCTGGTCCAACTTTGTCGTCATTTTTGTTGTTGCCGCTGATAATCACATCGTCGCTTTGGCCCACAGATTAGCCCCGGCGATTCAGCTATTGCGGCTTTGTCTGCAACTTTAGTGATCGTTTGAAACAAGGTTGTCACTCTGCCTTCACCAAACATAATCCTCGATCCCTCACTCTCCCCCGTCAGACATCTAGCGCGACCAATTTACCTTGCATTATGCACAGATGAAGATTTGACTCAAGGTGTTTGCGCTCGTCAGTAATTCAAGTTTTCTACTACATTAAGAGTGAACTGTATTCAAAAAGCATACTATATTAATGATACTGATATCTAATGTGTTTCTACTATATCCTGTAAATCAAGTGTTTTGGTAAGAATTTTTTATAATTTTCATATCTACCAAAAATCCACGAATGCAATGCGAATGTTGTTGCCATTTATGCTTCTTTCTAATGTCACCTGCTGCATAGCTTTCCTCACACTGTAGTAGCTAGAAGGACAAAACCTTTTTATTGAACGCTGGTTGGCAGGTGAATAACCCCCATCAAGACTATGTCAATATTTCGCAAATAAGGAAGTACTGAAATGAGCGATAAACAGCGTTAAGACCAGCTCGTTTGCGTTGGATGCTGATGTGGGTCATCGATCAGGAAATGATTGTCTTCATACCTTTCTGCGTGAGGTGTGCACTTAACATTCCAAGCACCCCATTGCAAGTTTTTACTCATCACGTATGCGCATACTTTTGGCCGGGTTGATGTCGAGCCATGTTTGTGGCACACAGACGAAAAACCAAATCTAAAGCACCTACTGCAATACGAATATGCAGTTGATGGACATATGCTATAAACATCAAAAATGGATCGCATCCGTTGCAATCGCATTTGCAAATGCCTGTATTTGATGCCTTTGGAATCCAGACCCGAGAGCGCATTAGCACAAGGGACACGAGTCAAATTTCCAAGGCTTTTATAATAATGCGCGTAATCATGAAAAGACGCGTGCTCAACTTGTCAAACAACTTTATTTGTGTTGGCCGTGGATTGCAGCTTTTTGAGGACATAAGCGTCCAGACCTCATACAAAATCCCCCCTGATTATGGGATTGACGGAGGCAAGTGACTTTTGAGCCACTCACCACGCCCACTCATAAGCCTCTCAATTGATGCAAGATGGGTCACAGTGCATCGATCCTCTCTATCATGGAAGTTGTCTCAGTTATAATTATAAGAGCTATAACAATTTGAAGACGTACGAAATAATGCCAAGACGGCCACCTACTACATTCAGCCATGATCCAAGGCAGCGATCGCGGCTTAGATACTTGCGACAAATGCAAACGTATGCTTCGCTGCGGCACAAACTGCAGAGGGACTGCGTTAACTCTTTGCTTAGAATAAGCTAAGCTTAGGTCACCGACCTTACGTTCTATACTGTAACCAGTATGAGAGTAGCCAAAGCCTTAACCCAATGCAAATACACTCTTCCGTTCAAATTCCAAATTTACCTTTTTTGTTTTATTTGCGGCAGAGCCACCTATTTTCAAAATATAGGTGTTTCAATTAAAAAGTAGCACCTAATTTAGGTGCATAACTTCTTGGAGTCCCGCTACGTAGTGGTTTCATGTTAAGATCACACCATTGCGTGGTCGCACCATCTCGTGTGACCTAGCCCTTTATACCCGAAAACGTGGTACCCAGTCACACTCTTCCTTTCAAGATTATAAATACCCACAATTCACATTTAACTGTCACCTCGTACGTGGCTTGCGTTTTTAAGACACCCAAACATCTTCAGGACCTTCTTCCCGCATTATCTGATCAATGAGCCCTGTGTCTATGACACGAAAAACACCCAGCCTCGCTGGTCCCGATAGAGCCCGCAAGCAGAGCCCTTCTTCGTCTCATGCACGCGGTGCAATTCCGGAAAGTACGACCGCGACTTCACGAGAAGCACAACTCAAGCCCTTGGCAACCGGGCGCCGCACACCGTGCCCGACACGGGCGACGGCTTTCCTTGTTAAGGATTCGGAGGAAATCGACTACGAGTCGGGTACTCCTTTACCAGGATGGGAGAGAGAAGAGGGCGAGGTGTGCCAGTGGTACGACGTGGGCCCCGATCAACCCTTGCTGACACCGTGTCCGCCTCCCGACCTCTCGACCCCCGGGGAAGGTGGTATCATTACTAATCGCCCCAACGAAGCACAGGAGCAGCAGTTGGAGGCTGCCAGCAGGGCGGCTGTGCGCGCGCATCTACGGCCGGTCCTAGACATTTGTGTGGAATACGGCTTTCGATTGGCGGGTCCCGCGACTGAAGCGAGGGACACGATCGCTCAATCGTTGGTATTCTACGTAGTCGAGCCCCCGGCCACTACACAAGTCGAGTTTGACAAACAGAAAGCTCTTTCAACTTGCTTCTTGGTGCCTAAAAAATAAAAATAGATAGGTGTCGCGATCAATTTCACGCTTAAAAAGAAGACGCTTCTGTACCCTCAATGCGGACGATTCCGGTGGTACTCGCCCCTGGAAAAACCGCTGTAGATGACGAGATCCTTTTGAGCGACGGGTTCAGTGGCACCGGAAACTTTCCTCGCTGTCTGACTTACTGTAGAGCCACAAGGAGATGCGCCTATAACGCTCTCTTCGGTTTGAGTTTGCAAGATTTAAGGCGCAACGCCAATTCCCTTTGTACTGTCACCCTGCGACGTATGGATTAATCCATCACGCTCCCGTGAGCTCAGTGGTCTTTCACAGGGCGTCCACAGCAGCTCAGGGTCATAGCTTGAGCTCAGCTCTTGGCTCTTCGGCGTTCCTGGCTATTGCCAAGAAGCGCGAGGTGTTCGACGACGCAGAGCGTCATGATCCTTCTGGTCAAAAGCGTCCACGACGTCTGGGCAGTCTTGCCGAAGTGGCACCTTAAACTCTCGCGAGTTCTCAGAGTCTGGGTATCACCACCACTTCACAAGATATTGGGTTCGACTCTATCGATGGCGTCAACCCACAAGGCTTGCCAAGTGATAATGGACGCCGCTTTTCTCGTCGAGAAGAGTTGGTAGCACACGATGACGACTAGGTCGATCGCCGTTCGATAACTCGCGATGTTCATCGAGCTCTTGAGGAAAAGGTCCGTCGCCATCGGGGAAATGTTAAGCATCATGCCGAGGTCGCATACCGCTGTGCGGAAACCCTCAAGAGCTTGGAAAACTTTGTGCACCGACTGCCTCACGTTAGAGATATCATGCTCTGTCGAAGTTGCACGTAGCCGTCGAGGAGATAAACGCAGCACTACGTCCGATGGTGGAGC